AGGTTATACAAAAGAAAAAAAACTAAAGAAAATTTAAAGGCAACAAAAAATGTTTTGTTTTGACTTTTTTTCAGGTCCTCCTCACTCCCCTGAACTGAACAATTAAGGGTAATAGAAACAAGTTTGCAAATGATTTTAGTGTTCTAAACCTACATTTTTTTCAACAAAAAATGTTTTGGCCAAAAAACAAAATAAAAAAAACCAGAAGGCACCTGTCCCAACTGTAAATTACAACAATATAAAGGCTTTCCTAGTTTTCAACTGAAAATATCCCAGGGAGCCACTCAGGCAGCTGTAGATTGTCAACACATAAGAGAGCGTTGACCACTCCCCTTTCTTCCCAACTACATTCCTCATTCATGTGGCCATAAGATAAGTTCCCTAGAAAAAGAATATCCTACATAGGTCAGAGCTGATGTCTTTAAGGCTGGTTCTTACGAGGGATGTAACAGTGTAGTCAATTAACTGTTAAGCAAAATCTTATAGGTTAATGCTATAGACTACATGCATTTCCACCCCCCCACACACACCAGTAAATTTTTTAGCAAGCTGGCCAGCAGCCTGGCTCAGTCCTGGCTTGTGATGGATCCAGGACTTCCACTTGCTGCGGCTCTGCATTTAAGTGTATTAGGAACCTGGCAGGCAGGCAGCCCCACTTAGTCCTGGCTCACGCCGGGTCTGAGACCTACCCCCACTGCAGCTCTGCATCTAAAGTGTATTAGGAGCTAGTTGGGCGGGCAGCCCATCTCAGTTCCAGCTCTCGCCAGGTCCAGGAACTCAGACCCTCCACTAGGCTAGAGTTGGTGCCACCCCACGCTGCTGCCTCTATCAGAAGCAGCAGCACAAGGCAACAGACAACCAATCTGTGAGGGGAGCTGGTTTTTAAAGCTGCCTGTAGCATTCTAAATACTGTATTTACCTGTTTTCTATCACCAGATGTTTTTATCTTGGAATTGAATTGGGGAAAACCAAAAGAATGATAGGATTTTAAGATAGGGACGTGCATGTTTAACTAGTAAGCTTCACCCTGTTCTGGCTGGGATGCCAGTTAAACTGGATTTTACTTCCCTATTTTAAGTACCTGAATCTTGCGACCTACCAAGAATCGAAATATTTTGTAAGAATACAGTTATTTGTTAGTTTATATCTACCTGGGAACTAGACAATGCATTGGAGTTAAATACGTGGCATGATCTACACCCATTTCTGTGCTCTCACAGAATTTTAGGATCTCATTAGTCAATGGGGATATGTCTACACAGCAAAGTTATTTTGAAATAAGAGCTGTTATTTCAAAATAACTTCACCAGTATCTACACAGCCAAACTGCTATTTCAAAATTAAATCAAAAGAGCAGAAGGCTTATTTTGAAATTGGTAAACCTCATTCCACAAGGAATAGCACCAATTTCAAAATTGCTATTTCGAAATAAGCGCTGTGTAGATACTTATTTCGAAATAGGGGGCCTCCAGACCCTGGTGGCCACTCTGGGCACAAGCAAGAAAACTCCTCTCTCTCTCCCCCTCTCCCCAGAGCCTTTAAAGGGGTAGACTCTGGCCACAGTGCCTGTGCCAGCTCCAAGCCTGCCAGACCAGAGCCAGTAGTCGCTGCAGCTGATCCAGTGGCCCCAGCATGAGCCAGGCAGTCAGTGCCAGCCAGCCCTCCACTGCTCCCCAGGACCAGTCTGCCAGCTCCCAGGAGCCTGCCATGGTCTGGAAAAGGTGGGCGCCTGCTTGGTCCAGTGTGGAGATCAGGGACCTAATTCAGGTTTGGGGGGATGCCTCCAACCTCCATAATCTCCACACTGAACGGAGGAACGCAACCATCTACAGATGGATGGCTGATAGCCTGCCCACCAAAGGCCACATGAGAACCCAGGAGCAGGTTTGCATGAAAATAAAGGAGCTGCTGCAGGCCTATGCCAGGGACGCAGGGGGCAGCTCCCAACCAGGGGCAGACCCAGACCCAGACCCTTGCCCTATTTAGATGCTGTGGACCACATCCTGGGGGGCAGGATGATCCGTGCCCCCCAGGTGGTCATTGACCCTGGGGCAGAGCTTGCTGCCTACTGCTGCTCCAGCCCCTGCTGCCTCCCCAGCTACTGCTCCTCCTCCCCCTCCTTCTCCCCCTCCTGCTTCTTCCTCCCCATCCTCCCCAGACTCCCAGGGACACTGAGGCCCCTGAACCCGCGGTGCTGGGAGACAGTAGGGCCGGTGAGACCCCCAACCCTAAGCTTCTCCTCGCCCTTCCTCCCCTTGCCTCCCCCTGCCAGCTCCCTCCTCCCAGTTTGGGACCTGTTCCAAACCCCTGATCATTTTAGTTGCCCTCCCCTTTCCCACCCTCCCTCCTCCCCTCTCCCACCTTCTTTCCCCAGTCTCACCTCAGTTTCATTCTCCCTCTACCCCAGTTTTGTTCAATAAATAGGCTTTGTTGTAATGAATACACTTGTCTTTTATTGTACAGCAGGAAGGGGGGTTAGGGAGAGATAAGTGGAAGGATGTTAGGGAGGAATGAGGCACAAGCCCCCAGTGGGGCACACCAGGGAGACTGTTACTGCCTGCAGAACGTGATGCCAGGATCACAGCAACACATCCAGGAAAAGCACCAGAGTGCCCGGGGAAGCTCCGGCTCCATGGTGCCGAGTGCTGTGGTGTCCTGAATGAGGGCAACCAGAGCACACAGAGAAAAAAATGCTTTGCTGTCTCTCAGCGAGGTAGGCAAGCAAGCAGGGAAACCTTAGAACCAGCTGTCCAGGGGCGTCCCTTTAAGCACAGGTCTCAGATAGCCTCAGGCAGCAGCCACACAAGGTAACTCCTGACCTGATGCCTTGCCAGAACTGGTTCTGGCTGGCCTTAAATAGAATTCAGTGTCCTATCAGTGTGGACGCACTATTTCGAAATAGCAAAACACTATTTCGAAATGCATTTTGTGTCTAGACACATTATTTTGAAATAAGCTATTTCGAAATAACTATTTTGAAATAAGATATTTTGAAATAACACTGTAGTGTAGACATACCCTGGGTGTTTAGACCAGGAGCTGCTTCTGGAAGCTAGAGCCTCCTACTGAGAGCCTGCTGGGGCTCTGATTGAGCAGTGAGTTGCAGAGGCTTTCGGTTTTCCCTGAAGGCAAGAGGATCTTGCTATTCCTAGAGCTAAGAAGTGTCTGCAGGGAAGGAACTGTAACTGTGCCTGTTGTATGGGAAAGTGTTTGCATGGGAAGGAGCACAACAAAGAGACTGAATCTGAGGAGAGGCAGAGTGATCGTCTCAGGATCCAGAGCTGCTGAGATTTGGAGCGGCCAGCTCTAATTTCAGAGGGATTGTGCAGTTTGCAGCCTTGGCTGGACTGACATGCAGAACCTGTAGACCAGCCTCAGATCTTTAAACGTGTCTATTCAAGTAACAGTGGGGGAGGTCTAGGTTGGATATTAGGAAAAACTATTTCACTGGGAGGGTGGTGAAGCACTGGATTGGGTTACCTAGAGAGGTGGTGGAATCTCCATCCCTAGAGGTTTTTAAGTCTTGGCTTGACAACGGCCTGTCTGGGTTGATTTAGTTGGGATCGGTCCTGCTTTAGGCAGGGGGCTGGACTTGATGACCTCCTGAGATCTCTTTCAGCTCTATGATTCTATGCAAGGGTCTAGGATACTAAAATCCAGACGAGTGTATGCTCTTAGATGAGAATGAATGGTGGCAGTATAAATGTGCCAATTAGATAAGTTTATTTATTAATGTATACTTTGTTAATAGATTTTACTCAACTGCACAATGGACTTAAAATTGGGAGTGATATTTAATCTTAGTCTGCTAACCCCTATTTCTTTAAATTGTTAAATAAAGGTGGGTTAATTCTAATTTAAGTACATTAGATGTATATTATTTAAAATTGCTATTTTGGAATTAGATCCATGCCACAGACTATTATTAGAATGGATTTATTTGGGAGGTTCCCACAGCATGCCACTGAGTGTATGGGGGGAGAGGCAGCCAGGTGGAGGAACCGCCAATTTTGAGTTCCTATGAAAGTAAGGGATTGCAACAGAGAGATGGGTACAGGATCCCCACCTATCCAACATTACCACTGGAATATTCAGGATCTCCTGTAATATCAAGCACATCAGGCACATAGGTGAATGTTGCCTGCTCCTCAGTAACCCAAGGAGGAAAGGGGAGGGGGGAGGAGAGTTACACACACTTCTTGTATAATAGGATCCAAGAAACACTAGGGCTATGTCTAGACTGCAAGCCTCTTTCGAAAGAGAGCATCTAGACTGCACGCGGAATTTCGAAAAAGCAAGCCGCTTTTTCGAAAGAAAGCACCCAGTGAGTCTGGATGCTCTCTTTCTAAAAAGCCTGTTTGCTTTCAAGAACTCCTCCTTTCGAAAGAGAACTTTCGAAAGAAGGCGTTCTTCCTCGTGGAATTAGGTTTACCACCGTCGAAAGAAAAGCTGCATTCTTTTGATTTAATTTCGAAAGAACGCGGCTGCAGTCTAGACGCAGGTGAAGCTTTTTCGAAAAAAGGCTACTTTTTTCGAAAAAACCCCTGAGTCTGGACACAGCCAAAGGGATTAACTTTGGCCAGATTACACTTAATTATGTGAGCAGTTAGTGGAATCCAGAAACTTCTGGTTTATAATCCTTCCAAGCTTTGTCCATAAAAAATCCTGTTCTGCTTGTGAGCAGAGTAATAATCTGATTGAGAATATATACCAAAATTTCAATATAAACATATCACAGGAGAGCAATCTTTGATTTTGTCTTTTTTTGTTGACATTTCCAATTTGGGAGAAAAGCCTGGGCTAAAATTTTCAAAGCTGACAGGGTAAATCAGTCACAACTCCAATTAATTTCAATAGAAGTTGTTTGGTCCATGATCAGCTATAAACATTTCAGCATTCATTTTTTAAAATTATTTTAGGGTATCCCTTAGATAAAAAGAAAAACTGGCCCATAAATTGCATCAAACCACTTATGATGTAATTAAAATATCTTGTCTTACCTCATTAAATCTTGCCACAAGATCTTCAATAACATTGTGTTCACCATTTTGGGAGGAAAGAATGGTCGCAGATATGGAAGCTTTAATGCATGGAAGTTTGCTCTGACATTCAGCGTTACCCAAATCCCTGGTTAAGAAGCAGAGATAGTCAATGGGCAAGACCTTTCGGTAGAGATCCTGTTCTTGTTCAGTCAGAATACTGGCAACCTCCTCTGGGAACTGAATGAGGTACTGAAGTTCTGCTAGCTCTTTACTGATACCAGCTACATTGGAGAGGAGTGCATTTGAACCAGCCATAGATGTGCACGGTTGACGTTCTAAAACAAAACAAATAAAAAAAATTATGTAGCTTTCCTTTATCTATGGCTCTCCGCTGTGCAAAAAATATGTTAAGACTGAATTAGGGATGTAACCAGTTAACCGATTAACAGGTAAGTATCACCCACCCAATGCAGGTTTGTGGGAGGGGGGTCTGCTCCAGCCTGGCCCTGTGTGCCAGTCCTGCCAGACATGATGTACCAGGCTGTGGGTGGGAGGGGAGAGGATTAAGAGGTTAACCAGATAAACGTAATGTTTAACCAGTTTACTTATTAAATGGAATTTTACATTCCTAGACTGAATTTTTTTGTTCTCGTATATTATTTACAAAAGGATTTCACATTTTATATTTAAATAAATGAATACATTGTTCTAGCGGTGATCCTCAAATATATATTTACAAAAAACACTACTCTCCAGAGTTAATAAGGCAGGTAGAAACCTGAGACTTGGGAAAAATAGTTACTTACCTTGTAACTGTTGTTCTTTGAGATGTATTGCTCATGTGCATTCCACTTAGGTGTGTGCGCGCACCACGTGCACAGGTTCCAGAGCTTTTACCCTTAGCATTACCAGTACGGGCAGCCAGGTAGCCCCCTGGAGTGGCGCCAGCATATCGGTGCATACATACCCTGGCTGGTCCTCGGCCTCCTCAGTTCTGGAGGAGACTTCCAATGAAGGGAAGGTGGGTGGGATTTGGAAAGGATATGAGCAACCCATCTTGAAGAACAACAGTTATGAGGTAAATAACCATTTTTTTTCTTTGAGTGCTTGCTCATGTCCATTCCAGTTAGGTGACTCCCTAGCAGTACCACAGGAGGTGGGGTCAGAACCTAAACTGCAATGGATTGCAACACAGCCCTACCAACAGCTGTATCATTCCTGGCCTGCTGTGCAATGGTGTAATGGATTGTAAAGGTATGAAGGGAGGACAACATGGCTGCCTTGCAGATCTCAAGGATCAGCACTTGGGCAACAAATGCCGCCAATGAGGCCTGTGCCCTTGTAGAGTGGGCTGTAAGTGGAGGGCTGTTCGTCCCACAAAGTCATAACAGGCCTTGATACAGGAGGTGATCCATGAGGACAAACACTGGGCTGACACCGGGAGACTCCTCATCCTTTCCGCAATAGAAATAAAGAGTTGTGGTGACATCCTAAACTCTCTTGTGCTATCAATATAGAAAGTAAGGCTCTCACATCTAGAGAATGCAGGGACTGCTCTCTAGATGTTGCATGAGGTTTCAGGAAGAAAACAGGGAGGTAGATGTCTTGGGACATGTGGAAACACGCCCTTGGGCAAGAATGAAGGGTGGGGGCAGGGCCTAATCCTGTCCTTAAAGAATACTGTATGAGGGGGCTCAGTGAGGTAAGGGAACACCTGAATCCTGTGACTTCTCAAGAAGGCCACTACAGCTACCATGAATTTAGTGAAAACTCTTGGTGCTGTGAAAAGGCCAAGCAGGAAGACTGCGAACTGAAAGTGGTCTTGGCCTACTGTGAATCTCAGGAATTTCCTGTGGGCCAGAATTATTGATATGTGAAAATATGAGTCCTTTAAGTCAAGGGCAGCGTACCAAGGGTTGATGGAAGTGAGGGTGACCATCCTGAACCTTGTGTTCTTCATGAACAAGCTGAAGTTCCTTAAATCCAAAATGGGACGAAGGCCTCCCTTGGATTTGGGGATAAGGAAACAGAAGGAATAAAACACTTTCCCCTTGAACTCCTCTGGGACAGGTTTGACCATTCCCAGGGGCAGAAGGGAGGATACCTCCTGCTTTAATAGTTGCTCTTGAGAGAGGTCCCTGAAGAGGGACAAGGTGGGGGTGGGATGGTGGGTGGGAAAGGAAAGGGATAGCATATCTGCTCTCCACCAGGCCAAGTACCCAACAATCTCAGGTAACTTGGGACCAGGCAAGGCAGAAATGGGATCGCCAGTACCCAAAGGGTGCTGTTATCTTGGGGACTGGGACACTGTCCTTGGGCATATCCTCAAAATGATAGTTAGGGGGCGAGGCAGACCCCTTGCTGGTTAGGGGGTGAGGCAGACCCCCTTTCGGAATCAGACCTAGATCCTCTACATCTATTCCTGCTATTATTATTATTGTTGTTGCTATTCTGACTCCTCCTTCTGCCATGCTCAGGCCTGAAAGACTGCTGGAAGGGTCTCTGGGTGGGTCTAGGGTGTAGGCCTTTGTTAGGGGACCGGGGTGTGGATCCCTAGAGATTTTAATATCGCCCTGGAACCCTTGAGGCTATGAAGTCACAAATGGGTATGCTCAGAGAACAGGCTGGTCCCTTTTAAGGGGAGGTCCTGTAGGGTGTTTTGGACCTCAGGTGAGATTCCTGACACCTGAAGCCAAGCACTGCATCTCATAACTACCCTGGTAGCTACAGTGCGGGCTGCGGAGTCTGCAGCGTCCGGGGCCACTTGCAGTGCTGTGTCTGAGACCACCCTGCCTTCATCTAGTAGGGCCCCAAACTTCTGCTTCAAATCTTGAGGAAGGTATTCCTTGAATTTGTCTATTACAGACAGTGTGCTATACAGGATCTGCTCAGCATTGCTTGTTGATTCGAGATTCGGAGTTGCAATTCCCCCCATCGCGTAGGTCTTTCAGCAAATAAGCTGTAAGTTCTTCAGCTCCCTGCTCTTAGGTGCGTGGGGGTAGATGGGAGTAAAGATGTTCATGGCCAGACTGCAGGATGAAGTAGCACCTCTCTACCCACTTTTAAGGGGGTATAATAGAGGCGGGGCGTGCGCCACAGGGTCTTGGAAATTTTGGACACTGTTTTATTAAGTGGCAGTGTGACCCTAGCAGGAGCATCCGCCATCAATATGTCCACCATAGGGTCCAAGTCACGGAGGGTGCCGGGTCGGCCATTGCCACATCTGGCAAGGAAGATGAGGACTCCCTTAGGAGAAGCTGCTCTGTCGCCTGCTGTGGTGGGGCAATTGCTGAAGGGGGCTGGACACATGCACCTTCACCCTCCACAGGTGGTCACCCAGCTTCCTTGTAGGAAGACTGGCCTGCCTCCGAGGCTGGTAGCCTGGCCAGGGAGTAGCAGAGGTGATGCCCCTCGAATGGGTGGTCACTGAAGAATGTCTGGAAGGAGGTGCGCCCAGGGCTTGATGATATGCCCAGGGGGTCCAAAAAGGCCACTGCTGACGTGGTTGCCATTGAGGTGGCCAAGATTGTTGAGTGGCCAGGCTGGAGTGGAGACACCAGTGCTGGGATCTGGAACAGTGCAGCGATCTGGATCTGTAAGAGGAGACCCTCGAATAAATGGAGTCTGCATCTGACACTGATGAATAGTCTGATGCTGACCAGGGCAGTGCTGATGACGGTTCCGGAGAACAATGAGACAACCTATGTCTGGCCATCGCTGCTGGCTTCCCTCTATGAGTCGGTGCCATTTTTTCCAATGGGGGCGCCGATGGTGGCATTGGGTGTGGATATGGGCCCTGCAGCGGCAGCACCCAGGGGTAGGTCGGCACCAGTGCTGCCAACATCATCACAACCTCTGATACTGTAAGGGATGGTGCCAAAAAAGAGGTCAGTGCCCAGGTCCCCACATGGTTGGTGCCGGTGGTGGCAGTGGCACTGGTACATGCGTTGGTACAGGGGGCTGCTGTTGTGACAGGCATCAGTGCATACATCGGTGTTGCTGCCCGCTGGTGCACTGCCTTGTGTACCGATGGTGGCTGAGCTGGCTCCAGGTGTTCCTCATTGATCACTGTGACTGGTCCTGGTGAAGAAGTGAGCTCTATGAGCTCACATGCTGCACTGAACATCTCTGGAGTCGACAGCTGCTGGACCTCTTCAATCACGCTATCTGGTGCCAGACTCTCTCTGCGTTGAGCTCAACCGATGCTGGCATGGTGCGGGAGCCTCTTGGTGTGCTACCATGGCCACGTGCCCATCTCCATGGTGCACTTTTATAGCCATGCTTCATAGGGGACCTTCCCCTATCTCTTTTCCTGCTCGGTGCAAGAGACTGTGACTGGTGCCTTGATATAGAAGGCTTCACCAGTGCCATATGCCTTAATTCCGACGAAGGCTCTCTCACAGAGGCCAGTGTGTTGCGCACATCTGGTGCCACTGCCGGTGCAGCTGGTTGAAGAGCTGACTCCATTAAATTGAGCTTCAGGCAGGAATCATGTTCCTGCTTTATTCTTGGTTTGAAGCTCTTGCAGAGCTGTGCGATAGCCCTCTCCTAAGCACGTCAGACAGGAGTCGTGCAGATCCCTACAGGACATGGGCTTAGAGCACTTCACAAAGGGTTTAAAACAATGAGGTTCCGACATCCCCTCCCCAGGAGAGGAGAGATAAGGGGGGGAAACTCCCCAGATAAGAACCATCAACTTCAACTATTTACACTACTTAACTAAACTACAACTACTTAAACTGTATGTACAAGCTATGGGATAGACAGAACTGTGTAGTCAAGTACTCCACAAGAGTCACAAGAGGTAAGAAGGAATTGAGGGGGTGAAGGGCCAGCAGGGGTAATTATGCACCGGTATACTGGTGCCACTCCAGAGGGCTCCCTGGCTTGCCCGACGGGTACTGCTAAGGGAAAAAGCTCCAGAATCCGTGCACGCGATGCGCGCACACACCTAACTGGAATGGACATGAGCAAGTACTCAAAGAAGAACTATTAAGCCTACTGATTTAGGCAAAATGTGTCTGCTTTTATTTTTACTGTGTTCCCCAACCCTTCCCCTCAGGCTGTTTAAATCTTGTCATGATCATAAATAAGAAATTCTGTAGAGCAGGAACTGCCTTTTGCTTGTCTGGAGAGGACCTTGCACAAAGGGACCTTGGTCACTGATTGGGACCTGTAGGCATCATTGCAATATGAATAATATATAACAGTAAATTAATACTTATATTTTTTCCTTTTTTCTCTCACTACTAACCCTGCTTAGAAGTTATTATTCGTTTGCACCCATTGTGCTTTTTCATATAAGAAAATGCCCAATTATAAAATAGGGTGTTCT